AACTATTTTATAATTTTTTTTCTTTATAGTTAAGAACCTGTACATTATTTAAAAATTAAATCTATTCCCCTATATGCCTACATTACTATTACTAGTTTAATGCCAGCGTTAATAGCGAACGCCGTTCGTGTGAACACTTTGGAATTTTAATCCGTGGATTAGCTTACGCCAGCATAAGCTACGCCAAACTTACACCCTGTGTGTGAACAGACCCTAAAAGCTAATTTCATGGCCTTCCACCCACCATTATTAACCCAATTTTCCATCCTTAAAATTCATTCTTTAGAGTATACCAATTGTTATCACCCACAAGATAGCATAATATATACTCCAAGTATCGAAATGCACGCCATCGTGTCGGGATTTAATATTTCGACATTAATTATGTCATCATCACCCACCCATCTGTAAAATGTCTATCACTCACCCTTAGTTTTCTACTGCTACAACCCTGTTTTAGTTGAATTATTTCAGTATATGACATGAAATACCTTACTAAAGGCCTAGGCTAGCTGTGTATTAAATCACACGTCCAACTGTCAAGTATCACATGTGATGTACTAAACGTCACAGTACCATGAAATTGGACGTAAAGTGAAGGTGTGCTTAACTGAGGTGTATTTAGGGAACTAGGGTATATAAAAACATGTGAATACCATTAAATATGTATGCTTCTTTATTATCCAAATCAAAATATATATTTTTACATTTACGATCAAAACAAAAACAATTTTATGTTAAAAGGAGGCAACTACTTGCCTATCAAGTTCAACATCTTATAAAAATTAATTTATAAATTAAAACAAACACTTCATTAATACTAATAAAACATGACATTAATTTAGCTGTTTTCATTACCAATTACTTCTAATGATACCATGTCAGTGTTTTTGGTTTGAGTATTAGCTTAATAATAATTAACCATGACATTACAAACCGTCAACAAAATCATTTTGTTTGAAGTTCCTCCATTTCTATATCCTATTTGGTGGGTTGTTTGTAATTTTTCACAATATCTATTCTAAAACCATTTGTATGTTGATTACTGTCAGAAAAAACCTCCTTAAAAATATGTTGGGTGATGTTCTCCCCGTCCCACATTATCTGTGACCATGAAAATGAAATTAGCTAATGTGCTTCAGATACAGTTTTAACTTCATTCTCTAGAAGGTGGAAATTGTGTTGCTCACTTGCTTTGAGGTCTCCCTTCTCCCCCAAAGGATTGAGCCTACATGATTATTGTTGATCTTCATTTTATCATTTTCATAAAAGATTACATACACTGTTGGCCTCTTCCCCTAGTAAATGTTTTAACATATTTGTTTTAATGGTTATTCCCTTAAGCTTAGTTTTCATACATTCGTTACACAGTCGCTACAGTGTGTTCAGTGCAATCGTTGTACTGTAAAGCAGTCCCCAACGTAATCTGGAAGGCTTCCCCGATTCGACCGACTAATTGCCATCACCGAAAGCTTTCGGTGATAGTGTTTAGCAATTCTATGGAAACCAAGTTTACTCTAGACATCAGTTAAAAGGAATGTTTTTGAGGAAAGTCGGTGCAATGCTCAGGCTTGTAGTGGAAAAACCAGGTTTTATGTTGTTTATGATCACTGTTTGTTTTCCTATTCAAAGCACTTTATCCCAGTTCTCTCACTCCACCCAGAAGTGTAAAGTAGATAACTAGTTTGTCAGTGTACACTAATTATGGAATATCCCCCTAGGAAGCTGAGAGTGTGTTCCATATGTGTTTGAACCTATAACCCAGTAATAAGGGAAGAGCCTAGAGGCCTGCATTATGCACCTGTAATAATGATATACAATATAAGGCAATAATCCCTCCTCCCTAATGATCTGTATGTACAGTTTAGGTGTTATGCTTCATGTCATTTAGGCTTGTTCCCCCTGGGCAGTGGGTTTGTGTTGGGTTTATACAATTACAATTTAAGGTGAGAGTCTCAGTTTTTAATTCCAGCTACTGCATCGTATACCTGTGTTTGTCTTCTTCTCACTAACCAGTTTTTATAAGCTGTAATTTTTATAGCTTTATTCATCAAAACTGATATTCCTCGCCATATTAATTTTCATACCTATGTCTCTGGACTACGCTCTTGTGTAAATAACCAGTCTGTTCTGATCCTAGTTTCTTTAACCTCCACGTCTTGGTATTTCATTACTAATGAAATATACACAGATCGTCTAATTCCCATGCGATTTTATTTCATTCTTATTTGAATGACGCGAGTACAAGATTAATTGTACTATGTAGCGTCTCTGTCTATGCAGGATTTGTAATGTACCTGTCATTACACGAAACCCAGGGTGTAAAATCTATCGGGCTGATCTATACATTGTTTTCAAACTACCAACACGCTTGCAGAATATTAATGCAAGAATCAATAACACTCGCTTGTCAGGTTCTGAGTATGGATAGACCTGATCGTAAAGCCAACGTTAATTAAGCCCTCATTAGCATACAAAATCCACATCATAAACTCTGTGTAATGAGTTAGTCAATAGTCAATGTAGGATAATTACACAATGTGTTGGATCCTAATGATGGTTTTATACATGTTTCATCATTCTTTCATATACTCGTGGGCTTATGTGAATTTCTATCATCTTAATATGCATTATTAATATATTTGTATGAATATTTACTAGAAACGTGATTATAAATTAATTTATTATCTATTATTAATTGCTTTTTTTTTATTAATATAAAGGAGTATAGGCATATTATAATGCTACACAAGTTATTGTTACCAAAATTTATGTATTATCACATATAATTATAATGTACCATAAGCCTACCATATTCTTATGTTTCATCTTTGGTATCATCTTTATTGTTATGTGATGATGCTTTTTTTGCTCAAACTAGACCAGGATTGGGCAAAGACATCATTGTTTATTGCAACATTTCCGGTTTATTCATTATAGTTACTATAATCTGGCATTTCATTTACGTATATCTATTAGTCTGTGTAATTTTTTTCAATGATTAGCTTAACTATTCTTTAATTTAGACTTTCTTCAATTTTATTTTCTGTTATTGTGGAGAAGCCACTCTTATGACACTACGTGAGTGGAAGTTTCAGGATGCATATTTTATTTTATCTCCAAATATTAGAATGCATCAGCTACTGTAGTGTATTCAGGTATTTCTTCTAACCTTAATTTATTCTGCCATATTTATGATCTTAACTAAAATTGATTGATAATTTTATAGAATGAAATATTTTTTTTATTTATTATATATACACTCTAAATTTCATGAAGTTATCTTACGGGACAGATTTTTGGCATTATGTACACATACATGCACTTAACATGTTCGCTTCCAGGGACGCGAGTTCATGTCCGACCTCACTCTGGGCGCCGAGGATGTGAGTTCACGTCCACACCTGTCCAAACATACCACTATTATATCGCACATAAACTCGCTGGCAGTGGTCGCCAGAACACAAACTCTCACCGTGGTGGTTCATGGAAGGACCTGGAAGTAATGATCTAAAAATAACTACCATATGTTTGTGTTTCACTACAGTTGAAGTAAATGATTTTCATTATGGTGGCGCCCTTTATGTCTTGGTGTATGGTGTGAAACTAGGTAAAAAAGGCTTGGCAGTCATTATACTGGAAAAGTGGTTTGGCGCAGTGGGAATGTTTTGGTTTCCAAATCTGTAGGTCAGAGTTTCAGTCCTTTAGTTTTTCTCTTCTAAATCTCAGTCCATAGCAATATGATTTTTCCTTTATCTTAATTCAGAGGAAGAAAGAAAAAACTCTTGGTGATTGTCACTTCCATAGTGCATATTGCATTAAATTATAAAACTAAAAAACAAGAAAAATATTGGTCCAACTAGGAATCCAGTCCGTCAGCTTTCGCCCCTCAGTGTTGAGTCAGCATTGCTCTCTCTGTCTGCATACCATCCTCCAACATATGGCAGTATGTTTAGCTTCCATAGTTCTATCATAAATACATTTTTTATAGCCTTGGCTACCTTCTTTGATAATTACTATTAAATATTGCATTAAGTTTGCACCAGCAATGATATATACATGTACATTAATTTCGTCTTGATTTTAATGTGTGAAATTTTCTCTTGTGTAGGTTCTGCACATGTAAAATGTATACAAAATTATGGCTATCTCTGTAACACATATTATATTCATTATCATTTATAAAATTAATATCTACACAACAATTTAGAATGATGGCATTCTTTTCATTTTTTGTTTTTGTTTTTGTATTCAATCAAGTCTACAATGATTTAATTTCTGTGTTTTGTGTGTTCCATTGGTATCATGTTTTTTTTTGTTATAACTGTCACAATACTGTAATTGATTATAAAGTAAATACTCACATAGTAAAAACAAGTGTTGTTTATAAATCAATTGTATTCAAGTGTTTACAATGTTTTATGTGTTTCATTGGCATCATGTTTTTCCATTATTATAATTGTCATGCTGTGGTTGATTGTAAAGTGAATATTCACAGAGTAAAAACAAGTATACTGTGTTTTAAATATGAGATGAGATTATTATTTTCATGACATGAAATATAGAGAACTACAGTGTTACGTCACGATACCATGTGATACTACTCCGTTGTTCTTGTTGCAAAAAGCGTTTAACTGGACGCCATTTTCTTCACTGACAAACCATTGATCCCAATTTCTAGCGTAATTATTAAGATGTTGTATCTTACTTTTTCTTTGTAAATTTTAATTAATGATTAAATGTGTGTTCAATAACTAATATAATGCAAGCTTTTGTGTTTTTAGTACATTTTGATGGTAAAATATTAGATTTTTAAATGCCTATTTCGGAAAGTCTATGAAGTCATTCAGGCGTATTGAACGGTAACCAACGTCTGTTGACAACAGGGTGTGCCACTGTGGTACTCTATGTTAAAATTGCAATGATTACTGTATTATACAAATACTTGCTATCTAAAGATAATTTCATGTTTTTCTCTTTTTTTTTTTATGGCACCACAGTTGAAACATCACCAAGTAAGTATGAAATTTGATATTTTATTTATTTTAATTTTAATAATGCACTTATGTCATAGAAATGTTTCTTGTATTCCGTAAACACAAGGATAAGATGGCTAATACTGTAATTGTAAAAAGTAGATTATGATGATGATGGTGATGATAAGGATAACAACAGTTAATGGTGATTGCGACAAAGTAAATGATTTTTGATATTTTTAAAGATGATTGTGGTGAGAAGGTAATATTTTTGTTGAAATGATAGTGTTGATGGTAAAAACTTCAGTTTGATAATTTCCACTTTCTTTCACAAACCAGATAATATATTCTTTCAACAAGCCTAAATTTCTATATAGTCTTTAATAATGGCAAATCACTAAAAATGTATGTAGTTCATTGTACACTAGCCATTAGCAACTACTGGCTAACAACGATGTGTGTACCGTAATGTTTTTGCATGTTATAAACCTTTATGGATTATAAAGACAAGTTACCATGCCAATGTTATTGTTACATGAGTTTCGTTAACCGTATACTTACTCTTTTTATCTTCTATATTTGCATGAATATGGCAATTCATGATTGCTAACATCTTTTATGACTTCTCTCTGTTGCTTTACACTTTTAATTTCATAAGGATTTATAGTACATTGCTGTACTAACTGTTCATCAAGTTAAACAGTTCTTCTTTCACAAGATCACGGTACTGTTTCAACAAAAATTAAGTTTCAATCTGAATTTTCTTGAATAATGCTTCTTTTTCCACTTATGTTTTTGATCTGTAATAATGCTGATAAACATATTTATAGATTAACATGGCTTCTATATGAAGAATTTCAATTTTGTGATTTTTCTTACTTTATCCTAAATTGAATTGATGTAGGCCTACAGTTAAGACTCTCCCTTGATTGTGGTATAACGAAGTAGATCCCTTCTCCCCACCAAAATTGCATTACACCCAACGAACCACTTCATCCCCCATTTTTTCCATTTTTTGTCACAAAGGAAAAAAAGATCCCTCTCACTTTATTTTCCCAGATAACTTCCTCCTACCACCACCCATCCCCTTCCATTTGGTTTCCAATTGCTTTTCCCCTCTAGCACCTCCCATGACAATATTCTTAAATATATGCCACTGTCATTTTTCAATTTACCTTCCTTTTGGAAACCTGAAGAATCAGGATTTGTATTCCTAACTATAACAGCATATTCCTTAAGCCTTATAATGGAACTTAGTCTATAGACAGCGTCATGTTCTGTAGTTTGAATATTTTAATATTGAAGGTGTCCAAGTCTTGCATGATTATATTAATGGGACTGAACAATGTAGCTGATGGGTTAGATTATGTTTCATTTATGCACTGACTGGCATTCTGATTTTCACAATTGTTCTGTAATTTCAATCTAATTGTAAATGACTGCTTCATGTGGGATTCACCAAAAATCGTAGGAACATTTGTCAATATAAGTTGATTAAATCCCTGTGATTTATTATGCAGACAGGCACAGTGGTATATTTGCTGGCATTATAACCTTTAATGATCCCAACATAATATTTGTTGCTTATGTTTGACATGTTAGTCTAAGATAACATGAAATAGCTGGCCAGTTTTGACATAAAATGAAGTATCGTAATCAAATAGCACCTTTGGTAAGTTACATTATATCCGCCTAACGTACATTCATAAATAACCATTAAAATAGGTTTGCATAGTTAATTTTATTTAAATGCTCTTAAATCAAGCAAAACAGATTTGATTGACAGGCGCACTATGTTTTTACAGCTCACTGCTAAAACAGGATCTTTTGATAGCTAGGAATTATCTAAAAAAAAAAATCCAAAAACTCTGAATCCTTACGTTAATGTAAGTGATAGACAGTTTTATACAACACCTATTTAGATTCTTGCCATTTCATTGGTTGATTAAAGTCACATGGATATATTGATGGTCCTATTCAAGGTAAAAAAGTACATTATTCATCTAATGTAAATTTTTTGTTCGATTCTCTGATTTTGCCGTGCAATTTTAGTTTCAGTTGATTAAGTACGCTCTTGGTCATGAAATAGATGGGGTTTGAGTTGATATGCTAAGGCCTCCGACACCACCAACTTGCTTAGGCTTTGTTCCGGTAAATCTCAAACTGTGAACTATCTAAATGATTACCAGAGATTTCTATAGAGTAGATGTAAAAAACAAATAGTGAATGTTTTTTTTATTGTATTGTAGGGTACTTATAAACATTTATTATGTGTATAAACATTTATAGAATTCATACTTATTAACAAGTAAGTATTAAATAAAAATATGCCAGTCCCAACATTCATTCTTGTACCCTGATCAGAGCCCTGTCACTCCTTGTCCCCCATAACTGCCCATTAGAAGCTTAGAGGGTTGTAACCACAACAAGGGTCAAGATGTTTTCTTATGGGACAAAGATCATTTTCATTTACTTCTTACAATTTATGGAATAACCTTCCTGACCACATCAACTAAGATACAATTAAACAAAATATAAGCTTTTGCAATTTTGAGAAACTAGCTGTCAGGAACTGGGCTTATAACCATGTGTACAAAAGTGTTGACAATTCAAGCAATGTGTACAATACACATTTCTAATATATAACTATGGTAAATACTAAATATAATTGTTAAATTTTACCTTAAAAATGATCTTTCACAGTAGACATATATCCATTTGCTCTTGGGCAGTTCTGTATGTTTGTATAAAAGTATAGCACAGATGGGCAAAGTGCAGCCCGGCAAGGATTTGGTTGCACCACTTGAAAATATTTAATACCTCCTATGTGTGTGGCCCGCCAACCATTTTTGGCTGGAAACCCCTTGTTTTTTTACAGCCCGACACCACCCATCTGTAAAAAGTAATGTTTAAGCTGAGCATAAAGTGGTATAAATGCAGTCTATGAAGGTTTTTGGAAGCACTTTGGAAACATGAAAATTTTTGGGTGACCCTCAGAGTTAATTAGAAAAAATTCACATTTTCGCCCCCCCCCCCCCCACCAATGTTTATGCACACCCCTGAAGTTCAGTTAATTTATTTTTTATATTAAGTTGTAAGTTGCAAACTAAGTCTTAAGTTGCAAACTAATAAGATTTATAAGAATTTAATTTTGAACGAAATGGGCAAGTTTGAATGTTTATAGAATCCTACTTCAATTTCATTAGATTTATGCTTCACAGATTTTAATAAGGAATTAACATTAATGCTAAAGGAACTGTACCATGTGCTGGTAAACCTGTTAATTCAGCTTTTGATTTGATATAAAATGCATTTATATATTTAAAGTTCTAATGTTTTATAGCCTATTAGGTGAATATGTTTGTAGCTTTAGTTTGATAAGCTTGGTTTCCAAACAATCACTACACTGTCGCCACAGTGTTTTCAGTGCAGTTGTACTGGGAAGGTTCTCTGATTCGACCGACCAATCAGTAAAGCTGCCGGAAATACCGTGTAGCGATTGTATGGAAACCAAGCTTAACTAGCAGTTATACAAAGTAAAGACCTATAAGGCCCTGGTCCTTAATTGATTTATTTGAAGGGCCAAATTATTTTTAGATTTGGTGTCACAGGCCAAAGAAAATCTTTGAGTTTCAAGCAACTTGTTATACATGGACCGAAGGTAAAATTCTGAGATGATGTGGCTGAAGCCCTCTGTTGTGGCCGCACAGACCTTTGAGGTTTTTTGGAAATTTCAATTTCTATTCTATTTTTAATTGTACTACAGCACATTATTAAGACACTAAATTCATTACAATTTTTGTACCATAAGATTGATAGGATGTTTTGCCAAAATAACTAAGACACTTAATTTTCTATGGCTGTTTCTTGCTTATTGATAATCTTTTATTTCTTGCTTGTGTAAAACCATCACAAACAAAATTGGCGAAGGGCAGGGGAGAACGATGTCCCAGAACCACTTAAGGGGGTCCAGGGGCAAATCCACCTGGAAGTTCTAACAGTGCTAACTAAATGCTTAAGGCCCGTAATCGATCTTACAGCCTCATATTCTGTAAAGGTACATATGATTATTTTCTATCTACGTCTATACAACTCAATTGGTAGGACTAATTCTATAGGAGTATTTTTCAAACCAAAAATATGAAGTTACAGGCACAATTGTAAAGTCATACAAAGTTCGTTCAACGTAATAGTTTGGCACACAATATGTATTTTCTCTGTAATTTCACCCATCCTATATCCACCAAATACCAGGGATTTAAAGCCTAAAAACTCTTTGCCAGTAAAATATCAGGTCAATGGTAAAGTTTTTATTTTAAACTGCTATGTCATATTTAGCTGACTAACTAAGACTACCAGTCTTTTGGTGTTTGTCGATTGGTTGGTCAACGAATTTAATTCTAGATCTGTGTGTGGTCACCCCTACTTCACATTGGCCCAGTGTTGTGTTTTGGCCTTCGCTTTATTAAAAAAAAAAATTCATCGAATCATTATTTCTTTTAGTTTCTTTAAATATTTTTTGTATAATTTATATTTTTTCTCGCAGGGCAGAACAATTTGCTTCGCGGGCCAAATTTGGCCCGCTGGCCATCTATAAGGGCTATAAAGGGACGATGTTCGCTTCAACCTGTTATCTTGATTGCAGTTTTGTATGTCAATTGAAATGTTATCGTAAATAGCATAATGCTGAAACCCTTTGAAATATTTTTATTAATTTGTTTCAAAATATATTTTCAAAATTAACTTGAGTTGTATTTGTTCCGATCATTATTTTAGTGAAGACATCTGATTTTGGTATTAAGGCAGCCTAAGCCTAAATCTGTCTAAAAGTGACTTAAATTCCTATTGTAAGGTGGCTGTCTCATAGAGTACCACAGTCGGTGGTGCCCTCTGAACGTTGGTTACCGTTCATTACGCCTGAATGACAGGCCTAAAATGATGCCTAAAATGGAATAGGTATTTTAAAACCTAATAATTTACCATCAAAATGTACTAAAAACACAAAAAAGCTTGCATTTTATTAGTTATTGAACACACATTTATCATCAATTAACAT